TAACTTGCTACTTATAGTATGGCAAACGAGTAAAATTTTGTAACTTCATTAACACTAATGTTATTTCAGTAAACAATTACTATTAAAATTAATTTTTATTTCACTTCCTAATTCAGAATAATAATATGTTCAATGTGCTCCCACACTACACAAGAGTCAGGTAGTTTTTTGCTGGACCGGATTTTCTGCCATACCAAAATGGGCAATGACAGCCGAGGACCGGAGTTAAGGTGTCGAATTAAAACATTCCCCACCTGGACCGGAGTCGAGGTTCGTCGTTTGTTTTGCCTTCAATTAAATTAATCGAATTGATCCAGTGTAAAAATTCATAAATTAAGTGTAGTAACACGGAAATCTCACTTAATTTATTCATTAAAATTGTGTCCATTATTTGAAATCATTTCGATTTTAGAAAAATATCAATTTGGTTGGTTGCCTAGGATACCTGGATGAGTTAAATGACGTCAGAAGGGGAACATAATGACGTCATGGAAGATGTAAGCTGCAGCTCAAACTGGGTCATCTCTCGCACAAAGTGGGCCAGTGACCGGGGCGAGGTCGCTGGTATTTTGTTAGTTTTATAAACAACACAAAAGTCGTACGAAAAATGAGAATTTTCTGAAAGTCGAATGTTGTGGCATTCACCTTACCTTATACTTTGTAGGTTATGATTTATTATGAATTAAGGAAATTTATAGGAGTATAATTTATGAAACTGGTGTTGGAGAAGTTTGCTTTAATTATTTTGTTAGAAGTAGCAAATAATACGTGCCTTGACACTTAATTCATTGTGAAATCACATTTAGTGTTTCTTACACATCCGACGTGAATCTCACTAGAAGCGAAGTTCCATTCAAAACTGTGTATCGATATTAGAACGTCCATGTGAAATACACAATGAAGTGAAGATAATTTGTTCATTCAAATGTTGAACAAAACACCTACATTTATGATTTCGCAACAATATTCTGCGACCTTCGCAAGTATCTATTTGTGTCTAATTTTGTCGCACAATTTTGAATTGTAATAATATGTAATTAACACACAAAAATTGGATGTCAGTATTCAAAAGTCAACATGTGATAAAAACAATCTGATAGGCTTGTAACCTCTTTAATTCCTAAGTGTTGGTAGGCGGGGCAGCATTGTAATAGGTAGGGTCATTTTGACGAATATCTAATTTCCTGTTTTGTTTTCTTGACATTTCATGGTTTGTAGAATACGAAAATGTCGGAATTCCGTTTCCGTCTGTTTGTCGTTGTCCGGCTTTTTGTTTGTTGGTAATTTTATTAGACAAGTAGTCTTTGAAACTAAGACTGAACAAATGACTGTGTGTGTGTGACGTTTCATGATCCCTAGAGCCCGAAAACATACATCTGTCTGTCTGTCATCTGTCCACGCCTGTGTCGATTTTTAGTAGACAGATAATCCATCAAACTACCGGACTGATTGTTGTCAAATTTTGTATTAGGAATATTGTGTAGATGGTAAACTGTTAAAATTTGTCCGCATCCGCACCAATGATGACATGACGTCGACGTCATTTCCAATTTTTACAATAATAAATGTTATTTAAATTTTAGAAAATAACATATTCCTCCACTTGTAGTTTATGAGTGAATGTTGAAAAAAAAAAATCAAAACTGCATGTATCACAACATTTTACGATTTAACTTTGAAATTGAAAAATAGAATGCCCTGAAACGTTGTAGACCTTTTAAGGTTATCGGAATCGGAAGTATGGGAAGTCGTTAATCAAAATCAAATTACGACCCCCCAGAAACTGATGACGTCATTTCAAAATTTTGCCAAATAAATCTTATATAAAATGTACAAAATATGATGAGCAAAGCGGGGAACAAAATCTCACGCGCTCGAACCAGTGCTGCTGCGTCGATACTTTGATTACAAATGTATTTTCCTTTTGGACTACATCAACAGGCGCGGATCCAGGGGGGGTGCAATGGGTGCAATTGCCCCCCCCCCCCCCTGACACACGACCGATGTAGTTTATTTTGACCAATTTCAAAATTTTGAAATCAAATTTCATTTTGTAAATAAAGTACAACCTCTATAATCCGAATTCACGATTATCCGAATATCCAGTAATCCGAACAGAGGCTATTTGAAGTCGATGCTTCTTTAATCCGAACAAAAACTCTGCAATCCGAACTGAACTTGAAAACACAACATGCAAAAAGACGCAAGATCTTTCTGCCTGTTGTATGGAATACTTTGAAATTTTTAAAAATTGCCATATTTCAATGTACTGAATTAATTAACTAATTCTGGAAAAAAGGTTGAAGTTATCGAAAAAATAAGGCCCGAAATCTACAAGAAAAAGTATTTAGTTAAATTTCGAAAATCGTCGAAATGGTTCGAAATTTGAATGACGAAAATTTCATTTTTGAAAAAGTTTCATAACAATTCTGAAAAAATTCAGTGATATATGTATATCCCGACGTGCTGATTCCAAAAATATAGCATGTTAATGGTAACCGAGCAATATTTTCGGAAAATTCGGTGTGAAATTCGAATTTTTCAAAATTTTTAGAAATTACGATATTTCAACTGGACGAATCTGGAAAAATGGTTTAAGTTATCAAAGAAATGAAGCCAGAAGTGTCTAAAGTGTCAAAATCTACAAGAAAATGTATTTAGTTAAATTTCGAAAATCGTCCAGAATGGGTCGAAATTTGCATAATGGAGGTAATACATAATGGAAAATTTAATTTTTGAAAAATTCATCTAAAAATTCAGAAAAAATTCGGAGTATCGAGATTCTACTGTACACTATACGTGTAATGTAAACAACCAAATGTCACCCATATTATTTAAAAAACAGTATACTAGCTAAACTTTTATAAATTTTTTTGTTTAGAACGAAGTTCTGGATCCTGTATCCGCGCCTGTACATCAACATAATATAACATTTTATGATCACAAATCTGTGGTTCTGTGGTTGAAAAATTAAAAAGGGCATCGAGTATTATTATTTGAAGTAATATAGTAATGTAGAGGTGGTTTTTCTAGTAGCCGTAAACAAGTGAGACGCACTGGCAACCACAGCTTATTGCTGGCAACGTCCTTGTCGACCAGATCAAGGCGTCGTCACTACTCGCCGTAAAACACACCTTATGTCCATATATAATTCTATATATAGTCTATAGTTATGATTTATCGTTCCATTCATATTTCTTAGAATTGCTTAGACAGGGTGACGCAAATGAATGGAATGAGTCAATTTATTTTGTTGATTAAATCAAAAACTGTTAAACCGAAAGATGGTAAATTTGTAATTAAATATATCTCTTTATCCTTTCCAAAAAATTAATGACGTCATTTCAAAATTTTGCCGAATAATCTTACCGAAAACGTACAAAATATGATGAGCTTATACTTGTGATTTTTTATCACTGCATTAATATTTTTTAGAATTGCTTATACATATTATATATTATTATGTCTGAATGAATGAGTTAATATTGACTAAATCAGGAACGGCACACTTCATTTTCCCGAAAATTTGGGAATACAATACTCTTGCATTACACCTATACATATTGATATATGTGTCCTTGCAAAAATGTTGATAACGTCATCACAAAATTGTAGATCATTTGAAAAATTTATCCTAATTGAGCATTTTTGTCCAATTTCATATTCGAGTTTTTTTTTCATATTTATATACATTTTTCTACAAAAAATTTGATTACTAATAACTGTTAAATACTCAGTATGTTACATACATGACATTTGAATGTCTTCTAGTTTTGCCTTGTTTTAAACTCTCTAGGAGTTTATGGAAGGTGCATTAAACATTTTATTATTGAATCTGATTAATTCATTTATGCATTTAAAATTTTAGATTAATGAATTAATAGCACATTACATTTCAATTCAGATTAAATTCATCTATTAATTATTATCAATAAAAATATAATAATTGTTTACCAGTATAGCATGCTACTACGTATTTTAATAAAATATGCATATTTAACTGTTTATGGACTTGAATGGATTTCAGATTATTCAATAAAAGTTGAAAGATTGTTGTTTGTTTCAGTTTATCTTCATCTTGAAAATTTTTGCATTGTTTTTGTTATTAATTTTTTATATGTGCAGAAAAGCTGACAATTTGATAATAGTAACTGCTTTAATAATCATAAGATCAACTTTGTTAGTATTTTGTCTTCATTGCTATTTAACTGCTGAGACATAATTTGACTAATTCGTATGTTTATTTGTTAAATGATTTAAAATGTCTGTCTAAAATTATTGCTGACCTTAAATTATAAAAATTTGATTTTTTACTGTTGTGGTTAATCAAACTAATCAAACTACTTATTGATTTATTTCTTTCATGTACAGTTAGAAAAAAATTGCTCTTCTCTTTACTATATCGAGATTACCGTCAATTTGCATGTTTGTGTTGAAAATGCGACGATCAAAGATAAACCTTCAAAAATCTATTATTGTCTTTGATCGTGTTTTTTTACTCTCTCGGCATTTGATTTGTTATGGAAAAGGGGAAAATAAAATGCGTTGCTTCAACGTTAAATGTTTAATATGATGACTACAAGGCACTAATTAGGGAAATGCATAATTTTAGTAGTCAGTGCTGTTTATGAACAGTAATAATCTATAAAGTATGACTTACTTACAGTGAGATACCTATTCCATTCCTTACAATATTAGGCAAAGATATTATTTGTACCGTTATAAAATGCCATTGGTGCTAGGGTAATAATTTGTGTGGTTACCTTTTTACATAGTTACTCTGGTAATTTGAGTCCCTTACATTGTATACATTTCATGTCATTTAACTGTATCAACAACAAAGTAATATTTTCATACTTATAAAAACGGTGATTTATTTACAAATTTTATAAAATAAAGAAACACTGGAAGAATTTTCCAGTTAACAGTCTTAATCTTAGGATATTTGAGACGCACGTATTGCTGCAGTCACAATTTGCATAACTTCAGCATCCAGTAAATTACCGGTTTAGGCCCGCCATGTACTGCATACTGCAACCACAAGGGTTGTGCATATACATCCTTGCCTGATGTTTAGGAATCCTTTGGGTCGGTAATCCAGACAATCCCTTCACGTATGTATATGTTACGGGCGATCGTAGTATCCTCTTCGGGGTTGACTTCTTGCTGGTTTTTCGTTTAGCTTCTTTAGAGTTATTGCAACTTTGCGACCGTGCGTTCAAATTTAGATTTTGGAACACTTTTCTTATGCTGTCGGCTGAGGTAGAATGGTGGTGTCGGGGCCTCACCTGGGTATCGCTTCCTGCATCGCTGGAACTGCTGGACATGTGGTTCGGCGAAACAGATCTAAAGCCCGAATCCGCAGAAAGATGCTCCTCCTTTTTCGCTGATGAGGAAGAGTCAGAGCTGGAGGATCTGCTGTCAGTGTCTGCAGAATTGAGATCTTCATGAGAACGTCGAGCAATTCTCTTGCTGATGGCTCGGAACAGTCTTATGCCTCTGATTTCTCTGGAAGGCGAAGGTGTCATCGGAGAGATGCTTCGATTATTTGAGGTATTAAGCATCATCATCATTGTATTATCCGTTGACGTAAACACGGAGTTCATCAGTTGACTGTATGTTACGCCAGCGAAGGGTTGTTGAAACTGAAGTTGCTGTGTTTATGTCGAGTTTTATAACTACCACAATGTGGGGTTGAAGTCTGGGCGCACGCTTTGACATGGTGGGGGTAAAAGCACGTGGATGAGACGAAGGAGTATCGACGTAAAGTTAATAAACGGGGATTATGGCAGATGTTAATCGCAATGACAGGGAATTTCGAATGCGACAATATTGCACTACGCAGTTTTATTATGATTGTATAGTTGAAATTAATTTTTCTAGAGTCAGTAGACAACTCACCAAATGAATAATTTCCTAGAACCTAATTTTTTTTTGTAAGCATTTGCAATGTTATTTAATGTTTTACTTCCGATAAAATAGATTTGTTAGTTTTGTAAACAATACATGATTTGAATATAAAACAATATTCTTTAAACGCGTGAAATTGAACACGTGAAGTGCACCATCACCTGTAACATTATCTCGCAAATAACGTGATATTTCACGTTGAATTTTCTCATTTCGATCACGTTACTGTACCAAATTCATAATTCATTTAAGTATTTGCGTTCACGTGTTGCTGGCGTATTTGAAATTAATAAGCATTCATTGTAATTTTACCAGCTACTTCAAAGCCAACAAATCGTCCTTTGTCCGAATAAATGCTTCTTAACATTTGCGGTCACTCTCTTATAAATTAATGTTGAATTTTTTATTTTGAAAACTGGTGTTTATTTATTTATTTATTTTTTTAATATGGACTTTCCACATACTTTGACAAACTGTGCTTAAATGAAGTAGTAACACAGTTGTTTAATTTCGATTATACAATTTTTATAGATTAAATATTTTTGAGAGAAAATAGTGACATTTAGTCACGTTTTTTTTTGCACTTTACTCCCCGGGTGAAGCTAATGAGCGGAAAAATGTTGTAACAGAATCCTTTTGATGAACGTTTAATTACATGTGTACTGCCATTTCTTAATTCATAGAATACGAAAATGTATGTTTTCTGTCGGCTTGAGTGGTCTATTGCTTGACCAGTTGTCGCCTTGAATATTTATTAGTCAATTAATCACTCGATTATTCTAGAATTTTAAAAGTATCGTAAAAACCTAATCCAAAGTTTATGATATCAAATCTGGTTAAACAAGCCCAGTGGAATGTGTAGCAGTGGCGGCTGGTGGGTCAAAATTTCGGGTCGGCCAAATATTTTGAGTCTACACCTTGGTGTTATATATTTTCGTAATGTATGGCTGCTACTCATTAACCACTGACATTTTACGTGCCAGGATGTACAAAACATCTCAAATGTTTCGACCTGTTAAAATAATTTTTTATAGGAAATTGACAATGTCAGTTTGATTCCAAATACTATTAATCCTTAATTCTACTTGTTCTGCTTTATCATTAATTGAGAACCACCGAAAACATTATTTTTACTGAGTTCCGCGTCGACCGGCGGCTATACGGCTTGCCGACCCCGGACATCCACAATTAAATAATAATAATTAAATAATGACATGCAGTTAAAAAATATAAAAAAAGTAATAATAAAAGTACCAACTGTTAACTATCTTCATTTACATTTATTTATTTTTAATGTATATGACAAATTGTCAAATAAATTAATTGAATAATTGAAAAATTAAAATGATTTAAAACTTTAAATTCGTTTCTGAAATATCTGAAAACGCTTAGATGCTAAAAATACAGAAAAAGCGCATTTATGTTGTAGCTAAGTTATGTACGAAAAATAAAATTTTAGATAATTTAATGTAATTTTTTTCGTTTATTATTCATACACAGAAAAATGTATTAAATCGACAATTATTATTTAAAAAAAAATAGTATGCACTGAAGAACATCGAAGCCGTTATTGTTTTGTAATTTGGTTAGCTATCTTAAATATTAAGCGTTTTAAAAACTAAATTCGCGTTGCTGGGTACGGCGAAGGAGGATTTCGCCGGACCTGGCACAACATACGTTCCGCCAGGTCTTTGTCTACTACAGTGTACTAGACAAAGAGAACGATGAAACCGTAAGCTGCTACGAAGTCGAAACATCGTGCATAATGCATTCCTGGGTACGGCTTGCCGAAATCTCGCCGGCAAAGCGTGTTTATCAGCATTTAAAATTAGCAACAAATGCTTTATTTTGTACCTACAATATAATAAAATATATTTTTAATATATATGATCTATCCTAACGTACATTCAAACTTTATTTCTTTTTTTATTTTCTAATTTCAACGCTTACTAAGTATTTTAAAATGACTGGTACGGCGTGGCCGACCCTGCCGCCCCTGACCAGCCGCCCCTGATGTGTAGTTTAAAAATTTACTCCCATTATTTTTTTGTTTTTTTGTTGCTAAAAATAATATGGATTGTTATAATAATAATTACCTGTTTATCATTTACTGTGCAAATAACAGTAACACAGCTTAAATATGCTTCCCTCGTTCAACCGGACTTTATAAAAATATTATTCGACCGGCTAAAAGCTCTTTACGTAATTTTAACCAATGTCCGATTTCAGTTTTCTTAATTTCTACACTTACAACATGCGAATAACGGTTTTTTATGTCTACAATCTGATCATCTTATTGTCTGCTGGCGATTTTTAAAATTCTGTAATTTTAGCTACATATATTGAACTACAATATGATGTACAGAGCGATTCAAGTAATAGTACGAACCTGAAAACTTTTAATGCAATCACATACCTTCCACTTTTTATGAACCCAGCCCTGTTTTTTTAATTTTATTTTGTTTTTATCAGCAATCAAGTTATTTAGTGATGATGAATTTCTAATGTTAGCTTATATATAAAAATGAATGTTTGTTTATTTGTTTGTTTGTTCCGTATGCGTTCATAAATTATTCATCCGACAAAGAAAATATCAAGATATACTCAGTGACATGGAGAATGCAACACCGATAAAGAGTGTGAATTTTTTTATCAAACTTGATATAGAAATGTTTGACTACAGAACGGTAGTAATAATAATTGACTAAATTTTCCACGAAAAGCCACATAAGGTAACCTTATTTTTTTTTTAAGGTGTTGGACCACTCCAACTGTTTACACACTTTCTGCATCAGGTCATTTATGTCTTCTTGATGTATTTTGTCCCAAGCAACTTGTAGCTCATGCAGAAGAGACAAGTCAGGAGACTTAGCTGGTCATGGCATCAGGTTTACGTTAGCTTCTTGAAAAAGTTTAAAACGGCCTTTGTGACATTCTGGCGGGCATTATTCTGTTGGAAAAGTGGGTTTTACGTTTTGCTGTAGGAAAGGAAAGGAATGGGCTTCTACCACTTTCCCAATTCAGGGTTATTTACGAGAAGCTCCTCGCCTAAAAAATTCTAAACATAGTCAGTAATACAATTACTATCACTATTTTTTCAAGTAAAACATAAACTGCTCATAATTTTGTGAATATTAATTCAAAGTAGCAGCTGAATCTCATTATTCAAAATAATAGCAAAGTACTTAGTAATAGTGTAAACAGTAAATAAATTGTGCTTTTTGTAAAATTAGCAGAATGACTTGGTCAGACGATTTGCCTTCAGATGTAGAAGAAGCTGCTTTGATTGTTATTTCTGGGTTTGTTCCTCGGAAATCACGCGAAAAATATCAGCTGGTGTTTGAACAATATAAAAAATGGTACAACGAAAGAAAATTTAAAAACCTAACAAATGAAAAAGCGTTGTTTAAGGTGGCTTCAGAAAACACGGGAATAGCATTACGTTATCTTATAAAATTTTACGGCCTTTACTAAAAAAATTTTAGTGGACATCATTCAAAATCATCAAAATTTGGCAACAATCGGTCGAGCGTGGGAAAGCTATTTTTCTTGCTCTAGGGGCCATGAAACGTCAAGAAAATATGAAACTATAGTTCATTTTTTAAGGGCGTGGAGAAAATTATGCCACATATACATAGTACACAAACTAACTACATGTTGATTATATTTTCACCTCTATTAAAATGTGTAATGCAAGATTACATGTTAATAAACATGAAACCAAAAAATTAGGTTAACAATAGTGTGACATTGTGTGACAACAACTTTTTCGGTAAGATACCAGTGTTGACGTTTATTTATTTACTTATTTTTTGCAAAATATACATTTATTCAAAATTGTTTAACATTTATAAATTCTCGCGTTAACTGTGAAATGTGTATTTTGGGTTGATTGAATATTTCCATTTGAAAAATGAATTAAAGTGGAGGCCAAAATAAAGTAGCACATTTTTCTTTCCATAGTGTAACTTTCAAATCTGTATTTGACGTTTAAATTTCGTTGGTAATAAATACCTATTCAATGTAGTCCAGTTTGCACAACTAAATTTTTTGAAAAAAAAACCTTTCAAAACCTACTTTATTATTATTTTGCTCGCCACTGTATAGTCATTCGCCGGATAGACTCCATCCTACTACTCTCTTAATTAGCTTACGCTCGGGAAATAAAAAGTAATAATTTTTTAAGTACATACTTAAGAATTTATTGGACTTATTTTGTAGCAATAAAATTCCCCTTCCGCACAAAGTTTAGATTATCATTTAGTGAGGCCCTAAATTGCTAAATTATTGAAGTGTTACACCATCCCCTATTTGTATTGTTGATATAATTATCTACAAATAACAACAACTACGTATTTTGAATTATACGAAATGAGTTTTTAGTTTTCAGCTTCGTCGCAAATGTTGATTTTTATAACAGGAATAATTATATTGAAGTATGGAGTTTGTTCCAAGCCGACTTAGTAAAAAATAGAGTCATAATGATTCTAATGATCTTGTCCTTGGTCAACGAAACAAACATTGAATAACGAGCCAAAGAGTAGCAATATACGACTGAATAACATCATAAGGGTTGATTTGTGTTCGGGGAGATTCTAATTGTAATGAACTCGTCTCTTCGCCACAGCGATTTACTTACCATATGGTTGTCGCAGGTTATGGA